GTCCCCAGCCCCTGTTTCCTCATCTCTACGATGTGGGGGTTGCAGTGAATGTTCCTGAGGCCCTTGTGGCCAGGCCCTGCCTAGAGGGGAGTGGCAGGTGGTCTGATGCTCTGTCTCTTGGACCTTGGGTCAGACCTGGTCACTTTGGGAGAAAACTGCAGTGTGTGAGTACAGATTGCCTGCAAACACCGCCCCCCCCAAGTTCTTTACACACATCCCTATCCATGCCCTTTGCAGGGATTCTTTGCAGTTTCTTCCATCACTTGCCATCAAGAAGTGGGGTCTGTTCTTTGCTTCACCCTCCTCCTTTGCCTCCCCTATCTGCTTTGGTGAGAGATGGTGTGGGCCAGTCTGCCCCCTTGCCAGAAGGGGCACTGATTCATCTGCTCTCTTTCTTGTAACCCTTCCTCTCCAGGAGAACACACCTCCCAGACTGAAGTCAGCCTGGACCAGCCAGTGCCCTCCCCACCTACCAGCATGGCTGAGCACAGGCTCCATCAGCCAGGTCCCAGCCAACCTACCTACAGATTCATGAAAGAGAAGAAACAAGTGTTGCTTTCAGGCAGTAGACCTTGAGGTGTGTTGTTACACAGCTGATAGAGTCAGCACTTGGGCTGTGTGGCCTGACATAAATCCACACCTCCTCCTCAGCCTGGGGTGCAGGCTGCAGAGTGCAGCTATGGCTTCCAATTTGGGTTCCAGGGCCACCTGTGCAAATTGGTTCTCAGGCAGGGAAGTGGGGAGCCAGAGCAGGTACACCGCTTAACCTGGGTGAAATCATAGTATCTCTCTGACACAGAAATGTCTTTCATAAAATATACACTTAATTTAAAAATCACAGCTAAGGGGCCTCCCCGGTGGCGCAGCTGTTGAGCGCTGGGTTGCGAAGCTGCCAGCAGCCTCTGCAGCGCCAGTTCGATCCTCTGCAGCGCCAGTTCGATCCCCGGCTGCTCCCCGGCCACTGGAGGAGGGTCCCACATGGCGCGCAGACCTCTCCTGCCGCCCGCTGCTCCCCTCAGCAGTGTACTTCGGTCCTTCTGTCTGCTCTGCTCCCCACTCTGGCTCTGGTGAATTCTCTCACCCTCCCTCGCTTCTGACTGTACCCAGTGCTTGTATAAATATATAAATAAATAAAAACAAACAAACAAAAAAAGAGTATCTATCTAAAAAAAAAAATAAATAAAAAAAAATAAAAATCACAGCTAAATCTGTTCCTGACTTAAAGAGTGACCTTGTTATAAACACCAGTAGGCCTCTGGCTGTCTCCTCCCCATTTTCTACTGCCCACACATAGGACTCAGAACTTTGTTTAAAAGGCAGTGTCTGTATTTTTATCCTAACGAGCATGCTCATAGTGCTGCTACTTCATCATCTGAAGCTTTATCTGTTGGAGGATTTAACTCTTTGTCATCCTTCCTCCTCACACCTGCAGAACCCCTCCCCCAACTTCTTATCCTCTCCAGGATCCTCAAGTCTGGAATCCCTTAAATGAATGTTCACTTTTTACTTGTTACTGTGACTTTGGAAATGTGGGGCCTTTTGCTCCTGCCTTGACTCCTGCGCCACTTTTTTTTTTTTTTAATTTTTATTCATTTACACAAGAACCAGGGTACAGGCCAGATGCAAAAGAAGGTGAGAGGATTTACCAGAGACAGAGCGGGGAACAGAACAGGCAGACTGATGAAATACACTGCTGAGGGGAGCAGCGGGTGCTACAGGAGAGGTCTGCTGCGCCATGTGGGACCCTCGCCGGCCGGCTAGGATAGAACTGGCGCTGCAGAGGCTGTGGACAGCTTCGCAGCGCTGCCCTCAACCACCTGCGCCACCAGGGGAGGCCTTCTTGCGCCACTTTTTCATCCATGAACTTCCCGGAGGCAGTTCTAGCTGTTGGGGGCGGGGAGTGGGTGGAGTATATGGCCAACTCTTTGCCCTTCCCCACCCCACCCTTGAGAGAAAGGGGGAGGCTGGGCCCTCCCAGGAGCAGGGAAGGCCACTCACTCTCTCAGGCAACTGCCCTCAGGTCTCATTTGCCGGGGAGGAACCCTGAGATTTTTGACATAAGTGTTTTGCGGGCCCTGTGAGCATCCTGGTTTCCTCTGTTCCCCTGTCCCCATCCCAGGCTCTTGCTTCTGCATATCAGCTATATCCCACTTCATGGACCCTCTGCCTTTCACACATCTCCCCCATTTTGGTGGGGCTTGAGATGGGGAGGACCCCAGGTGGAGCCCAAGTTAAGACTCTCTATGTAGCAGAAAGGTGACCAGGAACCTATTTCTCTCTGTCACAGCTTTCCCATCAGGGTATGGTGCTCCAGGATGCTTAGCAGGTTCAACACTGGAAGGCTTTGTGGGAGATTTCTGAGTGTGGAGCATGGACAGGGTGCAGAGCCTGGTTTGGGTGTGCATGAGCATGGGGAGGTTGGTTGAAGGTGTGCTTGAGCTGGTGGGAGAACAGTCAACTGTTCCTAGGCCCCATGCAAAGCTTCCAAATGACAGATAGACCAAGAGAAATGGAAACTTCCCACCCAAACCAGAGTCTTACAGTGGTTTAATTCACAATTATCAAAAACTGGAAACAGTTTGAGACTTCAACCCTTGCTCCACCAGGGAGGCCCTAAACAAGTTTTTTAAGTAAAATATAGCCTATGCCCTTTAGTTGGTAGGTGGACAGACAGTGATCGGGCTATACAAAGGAATACTACATAGAAAGAAAAAATGAACAAACCATTCACACATGCAACAACCTGGTGGAATCCCTCATGTGCTATGCTAAGTTGAGAGGAGCCCCGTACAAAAGGTCCCACCCTACACTTGTATACAGGAGGGCTCTGGAGAAAGCTGAGCATTTGACAACTCACACAAGAGTTGCCTGGGGCTGGGGGTGGGAGGAGCGCTGACTACAAAGTGATAGCATTTGACAAGATACACAAGAGTTGCCTGGGGCTGGGGGTGGGAGGAGCGCTGACTACAAAGTGATAGGACAAAATTGTTTGAGTGGAAGGAAATGTTTTATATCTTGATGACTATAGTGGTTGCACAGCTCTCTGAATTTGTCAGAAGTCAGAATTGTAGGCTTAAAAATGTGAATTTTACTGTTTGTGAATTAGACCTCCATAAACCCAAAAAATAGAGAGTAATGACAACTAAAAGTTCGTGTTAGGTGAGAGTTTGTGGTGACATTGTGATAGCAGGGAAATTGTCGGATGGGGCAGGAGAGGTTCAGGGGGACCTTACATAACGGGTCCTTTGTGTGAGGCCTTGCCTGTCCCTGGGAACCTCCGATGGTAAGATACTCTTGGTATATTCTGTGAGGATGGACACCCTGGTGAAGGAGACACACAAATCATACCCACATTCCCCTCAGGTCATCAGCCGTGGCCACTTTCTCTGGCCAGAGGAGAAACTTGGGAGGGCAGGGGATGCAATGGAGCTGAGCCAGAGACCAAATTTCAGAGGCAGCATTGCTGCCACGAGAGCCTCAGTTTCCTCATCTACAAAATGAGGACAGCAGTCTGTATCTCACAGAGTCCAGTGAGGGTTAGATGAGGTGCCCACGTGTAGTTAGGAAAGGTTTCTAGATCCACATGGGAATGGCTCTAGCTGATGGGAATGGCCACCAGCAGGCTGGGCTTGAATTCCTGTCTCTCTTCTTATAAGTGGGGAGGCCTTGGACAAGTGACTTAACCATTCTAGGCCTCAATTCCCTTAATAAAATGAGATTTCATGGCCCCATAATACTGTTGTGAGGATTCAATTAATAAAGGCCTTAACCCTGTGTCTACCACATAGTGAGCTCTCCCATTATTATCACAGAGATGCCACATTAGCAAATAAAAATACAGAGCTCCCAGTTAATCTGGAATTTCATTTAAGCAATGATTTTTTAAAAAAGATTTATTTTATTTATTTATGCATACAAGAACTAGAGTGTAGGCCAGAGATATGGGGGTGGGGGTGAGAGGATTTGTCAGAGACAGAGTAGGGAACAGAACAAGTGGATTGACCGAAATACACTGCTGAGGGGAGCAGCTGGCGAGGCAGGAGAGGTCTGCTGTGCCATGTGTGTTAGCTCCCTGGCCGGGGATTGAACTCTTGCTGCTGTGGCTGGCGATAGCTTGATAGCTTTGAGACTTTAACCCCTGCGCCACCAGGAGACCCTAAACAATGAATTTTTTTTTTAAAGATTTATTTATTTTTATATAATAACTGGGGTACAGGCCAGATGCATGGGAGGGTGAGAGGATTCACCAGAGAAAGAGCGGGGAACAGAACAGGCAGACTGACGAAATACACTGCTAAGGGGAGCAGTGGGCGCGACAGGAGAGGTCTGCTGCGCCATTTGGGATCCTCGCCAGCCGGCCGGGATTGAACCAGCACTGTCGAGGCTGCGGACAGCTTCAGAACGCTGCACTCAACCACCTGTGCCACCAGGGGAGGCCCAACAATGAATTTTTTAAAGTATAGCCTATGCATTATTTGGGACATACTTATACTAAAAAATTAGTCATGACATAATTATACAAAAAAATTAATGTGTTGTTCTCCTAAAGTTCAAATTTAACTTGTACAATATTTCATCTGGAAAGACAGGGATGTGGATTTTGGGTAAACTGAGGAGGGGGCTAAATCTAAAGATGAGCAGAGGAGTTAATGACCTTTGGCTTTTAACACTCCCTGCCGCCTAAATCATTCAAAACTTTACATACAATCCACCTCCTACAGGAAGCTTCCTTGATTTAACTAACACTGCCCATTCATTCCTGCTTTTGTTTGACTTCCGGCTTCCAGGCAGTGTCATCATAACACTCCTGGGCAGGAAGTGCAGCCCTTTTGATTTTCTGAAATCATTTCTTGAGTGTGAGCAGGGCTGACCTCTCCTGGAGGTCCTGCCTGGGGTGGTGGGTGCAGCATGCACACTGGGCTCTCGGTGCCTGCCGCTTGATGTCTGAGTGGCAGTGCTGCTCTTACATAATCGGTTTCTCTCCTCCTTTCTCTTTCCAGAGCCAGATTTCACACTGAGCAGCTGCAGACAGAAAAATCAGAGAAAGCACAACCCAGCTCCAGATTCCGAGGGGCCTGCCGGGGACTCTCCTCCTGCTCGGGAAGGAAGACCGCCAGGCGGCTGTCTCCAGCCAGGTCCTGGCTGCCATGGGGCTCGCAGCCACCACCCCCAAGCTGCCCTCCTCACTGCCAGGCAGATAAGGGTGGGTGCTGCCTGGGAGCACCTGCTGCTTCTGCCAGGCCGCTCCCTTGGGGCCAGCCCTTCTGACTCTGGGCCACCTTGGCTCACCCGAGGCCATGTAGGCCCTACCTGGGCCTCTGTGGACAGAAGGACAGACACGCTGCCAGGGACATTGCCTCTGCTCTCTGGGGGACCCAGTGCACCACCATGCCCCAGGGATTTGCCTGGCTACACTGTGAGTACTTGGGGCAGGAGTGGGGGGTGGGGTGGGGGGTCCCTGGGGACCACTCCTGGGAGGCCTTGGCCCAGAGCCAACCTCTGTGGTAACCATGGCAACTGGGCATTCCTGCTGGGGAGAAGTTGAGATGCTTCCCAGCTTAACTGCAGGCACCCTCAGGGACTCCTGCAGCCTCCCACATCCTGTTTCCAGCTGACTTGACTCAGCGGGTCTGGTGGGTACCAGTTGTAGGCCGGGTGGGCACAGTCAGTGAGTGATCACTGTGTCCAGTAGGCACTGGGAATGGGGGCAGCCCTACCTCCTCAGAGTCATTGGTGCTGGGAAGCATGATGGATCTGAGGTGGCAGGGAGAGAATTTCTGGCCTTCCTGGGTGTGGCCAGGCGGGGAGGGAGGCTGGTGAACATGTCTGGGCCCCAAGACACAGAAAGGAAGCGCAGCAGGTGTCTGTCCCCATGTGCTCCCTCCACTGCAGAACAGTCACGCAGCAAGAGAACAGTGTTATCAGTACAAGGAAAGATAAGTTGAAATGGGGATCCCCCCACAAAATAACTAGAAGCCTCTCAAACCTGCTGGGTAGGAGGCCAGACCAAGATCCTTTCAGATTCTGATTCAATTGAATTAACTTAAATCAATTGCATTTTTCTGGTGCCTCCCATGTGTCTAGTGCAGTCGGTGCCATGGTGACAAGGACCCTGGGCTCGTACGTGCTTCCCTATCCAGTGTCTCGCCCAGAGTTGGGCTCTAGGAAGCTTAACACCTGCAGCCTGGGGTTGGATCCTGCAAGGGCTGTGCCGAGGGGCTGGGTTCACTATGGATCCTTCCTGCAGAGGGTCAGGGTGTTCAGAACAGGCAGAAGGGCCTAAGCCCAGGGCCCTGGACCCTGGGTTGTGAGAAATAGGGAAGCAGTGTGGGTGAGGGGCCCGTTGAGATGGTCCAGGAAGTGGCTGGTGTTTACACAGGGAGATGTGAGCACCGTATTCTAGGTGGAGGGGACAGTGTGAGCGTGGGAAAGCTGGGAAAAGATGGGGAAGCCTGCCTGGGTGCAGATGACTGAGGCTTTCAAGTCAAGGAACCTGCCTCATGAGATGACAGGCAGCCTCAGAGGGCTTGTGATCTGGGGGTGGAAGTCATGATTGGGAGTTACTTTGCCCTTGGAAGATAAGCCTGGCAGTGCCCACAGGCGGTGAGGAGGGCCAGCTCCCGGAAGTGAGAATGAAAATGCAGGTAGAGGGGAGACTGCTCATGGAGGCGGATGGCAGGATTTGGCAAGAGCTGGCCGTGGGTGCTGGAGAAGGACTGGCAGCCATAACAAGTTGCCATAAACTTGATTTAAAACAGTAGAGAGGTGTTCTATCACAACTCTGGAAGCCAGAAGTCTGGATTCAAGGTGTGGGAAGGGCCAGGCTCCCTCCAAAGACTCTAGGGGAGGATCCTTTCTGCCTCTTCCAGTTTCTGGTGGCTCCTGGCTCCTAAGCTTGTGACTGCGTAGCTCCAATCTGCCTGTATTTTCATGTGGCTTCTCTTGTGTGTCTGTGGCCTCGCCTTTGCTATTGGGGGAGGTGCTATTAGGGCCCACCCTACATCCAAGATAGTGTCATCTAGAGACCCTTAACTGCACTGCAAAGAGCCTATTTCCATATAAGATTGAATCTGAGTTCAGGTGGAAGTGGATTTGGGAGTGCTATTCAGCCACCTACACAGGCTCAGATTTGCTTGCTGGGGGTTGAGGCAGTGGACATGTTACATTTTCCTGGGCAAAGGGCATTGTTCTTTCTTTAGCCTCTTCCGTCTGTTGCATCTTACCTCCGAGAAGAGGGGCAAGGAGTGCCTCCCAGCCAGGGTCAGGGCAGCACAGACCACGGAGCTCCTGGGGTGCAGAGCAGCCGTGAGACTACAGCTGTCTCAGCCTGGCACCCGTTTGTTGGTTTGTTTCTCTGGGGTGGAGGTAGCAGAAAAAAGCTTAAAATGAGAAATGGTAGTGGGACTGCAGACTCAGAGGAAGTCTGAGGTTAGGGAAGGCAGGTCATCTATGGACACAGATTTTGGTGCAGCCTGAGTTCCAGGCACCGTGCCTCCCTAAGTCCCACTTCAGTCCACTGTTACCAGGCCCTGAAGGACACAGATGAGGACAGTTGAAGCAGGACCTGGGTGGGGGAGTAGGCCGCCAGTGGGTGACTATCCATGGGAAAGAAATCCTGGTGTGGACAGATTGATTTTTTTAAAAAAGAGGGATGTTTGGATTTCTTACATGAAATTTCTGTGAACTAGATGTGGCCCCTGGACACCAGTTTGCAAATGTCACTTTAGGTCACTGGTTCTCAAAACACAGTTTCCAAACAAGCAGTAGCATCTTCACCTGGAACTTGACAGAAATGCAAATTGTTTGGCCCCACACCAACCTAGGGAATCAGACTCTACTCTTGGGTGGCACGCTGGGCCTTAACCAGCTGGCCTGGAGATTCAGGTGCATGCTCCTGGTTCCCTGCTCCAGGTGAACTCCCAAAATGCTCAATAAACAAGACCTGCATGCTTAGTAGCATAATGTATTCACACATGAAGGGCTGAGGAACTGGTCAAGACATGGGACAGATGGTGCTGAGATGGGGATTGGTGGGGCCTGCTGCAGGGGCCTGCTGGGTGAGGGTAACTCAGGACACTGGCCAAGGGCGAGCACAAACCCCAAGGTAGGGATGTTCCTGATCTGCAGGGGTGCCAAGCTGAGAGGGTGGGTGACTTGTAGCCAAGAGAGAAAGCTGGCAGAAACACTGGTTCCATTTGTGTCGATCTGTTCCTTTGTTCAAACACTGTTAAGCGCATGGGACAGAGAGAGTTCGGAAGTGCAAGATGGGTTGCAAATTTGCAGCCTTACGAAAAATGTGGTCATCAGAGTTCTGGGAGAGAGGATGGACTGGCTGTCTGCAGCCCATGCAGGGGCCAGACCTGAGGGCACTCCCGGTGAGGGGCCCAGCGAGAGCAAAGGCGTGGCCACTGGACCCACAAGGAGATGGGCAGGAATGGCGAGCAGGTCAGGCCAGTGAGGTTTTAAGAACAAGGCTTCCTAAGTGCCAGGGAGGTGAGTGGGGAAGTCTCATCAATAATTCCCACTGGTAACCAGGTTAGATCAAGGAGGTGACTCCATGGGTCTGGGGGTGGGGGTGGAGGGGAGAGGAAGGAAAAAAAAATTGGTTTTGACTATAACAATAGTACATATTGACTGTAGACTATAAAGTATGTCCTACAAGATAAAAAGAACATAATAATCTCCCAGAGAGATTGGTATGTTTCTTGGCCTCCACTATTAGCAAAATGCAAGATATGCTTATAACGAAGTAAGGAGTATTTTTAAAACTTCACTCAGCATATCATGCATTTTTTTTTTTATCACATCAGCATATCATCAGCATTGAGAATGGGATTTTTACTGTTTATGTTCATGATTACTGAACATCCAGGTCATTTACAGATTTTTCACTATTCTAAAACAATGCTGCAGTGGAAGTTTTTGACTCCAAATCTTGTTTTCCTTTGAATTTATTCCTAGAAATGAGATTAATGGGTCAAAGGGTATTGGCATTTTTACAGCTTTGTGGGTCAAAGTCCAGTATTAGCAAAAATTGCCAAATTGCTTATTCAGGATGAGCGCAACTATCTTACAACTTTGCTAGCACCAGGTGTTATTAAAAGAAAATAAAACAACAACAAAGGAAAAACCACCCCATTTCAATAGGCGAAACATGACATTTGTTTGTTTCAATGTGAATTTATTTATTAGTGAGGTTGATTTTTTTTGATTCTTCACTTGCCTGGCTACATTTCCTTTTCACTCTGATTGACTTAACCTTTGTTCATCTTTGTTGCAAATTCTGTAGTATTTTTGTATATCTGTTCAGTCACTGGGAAGCCACTCAGGCTGTTTTTGAAATCACAGCGCCTTCATGTGGTGAAGTCTGGTAATATTCTCCTATTGGCAGGGAGGAGAAACAGCCTGTGATTTGCTAAGCATCCCCCAATGGTCAAACTGCAGAGGCCGCTAACACCAACTATTTGGTGTATATTTAACCAAGAAGGATGCCGAGGTTAGACAGAGCAGGGGAAAGGAGTCATCTGTAGATTTGGAACGAGGATCTGTATCTCCTGTATCCCCTGGGAAAGATTGCAACAGGTTTTGAAAACACATCAGCCCTAGACAGAGGGCTGAGGTTGCCCAGGAAGGGGGTGTGCCTGCCTCCTGGGGCGGGAGTGCAGGGATGCTGGAGACCAATCCCAGAGCCTGGCTCTGCTGGCCAGGGACTGGGGTCTGGCTTTGCTGTTCTGGAGCCCAGACCCCAGGGAAACATTCCAAGTGGTGGGAGGGCCTGTGTGGGCCTCTGCCTCTCCCCACTCCTATCTCTTCCATCAGGACTTGTGCCCTGGGAAAGGGAGGATAGGCACGGCTTTGCATACCCGGGAGTGTGGAAGCAGTGCGGAGTGCTTATGCGTTCCCGTCCACAGATCTCGGGCTCCTCCTGGGCATGGCCTTGGGGACTGAGGGCTCGGAGGTGTGGCCCACGGCCCTGGGCCAGGAGTGCACCGTCACCGGCTTCCTGCGGGAAAAGCTGCAGTACAGGAATCGTCTTCAGTACATGGTAACTGTGTGGGCGTCCTCTGGGCCCTCTTCCCAAGCCCCCTTGGCTCGCTGGGATTAGGGTCCTAGACATTCAGGGCCCCTCCTTGGACCTGTAAATCCCCTATCTCTGCCTTTACTCACATACATACACACATCCTGGTCTGAGGGTTTTGTTCCCACTTCCACCACCCATCTAGGGGCCTATACACCTCTGACTGGATCTGATCTTTGCTCCTACCTACTTGTGGTACCTTCACTGTGGCTCAGCAATGGCCTTTAGGAAACCTTGGGGGAACTGCACACTATTAGGGATGCTAAGGACCAGGAAATGGGAACATTCCATTCTTTTGTAGGGTGGAGAAAGAAACCCAGGTGGCACTTGACTCTTTTTCTTTTTTCTTTTTTGTTTTTTTTTTTAATTAAGATTTATTTTTATTTACTAATGCATACAAGAACTGGGGTGTAGGCCAGAGGTGTGTGTGGGGGTGTGTGTGTGTGAGAAGATTCACTAGAGACAGAGTGGAGAGCAGACAGGCAGATCTACTGATATACACTGTTGGGGGGAGCAGTGGGCAAGACAGGAGAGGTCTGCTGTGCCATATGGGTCAGCTCCCTGGCCAGGGATTGAACTCATGCTGCAGTGGCTGGTGATGACTTGATAGCACTGAGACTTTAACCCCTGAGCCACCAGGAGGCTCCTGTTGTTTTTTTTAATAGCTTTCTAGAGATTCAATAGATATGCCATACAATTAATGCATTTAAAGTGCATAGTGCATGGTGTTTAGTATATTCCCCAAGTTATACAGCCATCACCCTAAGTTTTAGAGTTATCTTTTTTTTTTTAAAGATTTATTTATTTATTTATTTATTTATACAAGCACTGGGTACAGTCAGAAGCGCGGGAGGGTGAGAGAATTCACCAGAGCCAGAGGGGAGAGCAGAGCAGGCAGAAAGACCGAAGTACACTGCTGAGGGGAGCAGCGGGCGGCAGGAGAGGTCTGCGCGCCATGTGGGACCCTCTACTGGCGGCCGGGGATTGAACCGGCGCTGCAGAGGCTGCGGGCAGCTTCGCAACCCAGCGCTCAAATGCTGCACCACTGGGGAGGCCCCTAGAGTTATCTTTTTAAGTACTTTCTCACCCCAAAAGGATTTGTCTCTCTTTGTCCTTCATACTACTTCATGGCCTGGAACTTCTTCCTTAACAACAATGGTAGATTTTGGTTCTGCCTTTCCTGTGTCCAGAGGAAAGAGAGCAGTCTTGATCTCTAGTGGGAGTCAGATAGCCCCCACAGAGGGCCCTAGGGGCCGCCCCTACATTACAGTCGTGTGGGAGGTGGGGGAGCCTGGCCAAGCCCTTTCTGACCTCATGGTTTGTTCTTGTGCCTTCCAGAAACACTACTTCCCCATCAACTACAGGGTCAGCGTGCCTTATGAGGAAGTGCTCAGAACCGCTAACATCACCAGGCTGGTGAGAATCCCTTCCTGGGCTGGGGAACCCCTACTTCCTGGGACATCCTGAGGACTTGGGCTGAGAGGCCCACTGGGCTGGGCAGGTCCTATTTCTGCTTCCTCAGGCATGATGCCCTCGCCCAGGCCCACGGTTGCCTGCTGTCTGCCGTGGACACTGTGGTCTGCCCCCCATGTGGGACTAGTCCAGGGGATGTAGGAGTGGGAGGGTTGTGCTCAGAGGACCATGTTGATGGGGTGGGGGTCAGGGTCCAGTGATTTCTTCTGTCTCCGCAGCAGAAGGCCCAGATGAGCCAGCAGGAGCTGCGGTATCTGTGGGTCTCTGTGAGTTTATCTGCTGCTGAGTCGGTGCAGGGGGTGCTGCTAGAGGGCCACCCATCTTGGGAGTATCTGCAGGAGGTACAGATGCTACTGAACAATGTCGAGCGAGGCCTCATGGTGAGTACATGTGTACATTACATGCATGTATGTGCCTGTGTGCTTTTGTGCGTGCAGCCTATATCAGGGAGGACATGGAAGCCTTCAGCATGTGTCCTAAAGAGCCTGGGAGAAATGGGGGAGCGAGCCGAAAGAGAAGCCTCTGTGATGACGAAGTGGACTGGGCTGGCACAGCCAGAGGGGTGCCTGAAACCCTCTTTCAGTTTCTCTCCTGCTCTGTGGCAGTCACTGATCCCTCCAAGAGGGGGCAAGGGAGGAACAGGAGGAGCACAGGGTTTCTCTGCCATGCAGCTCTACTATGATACTGTGAGGGTGGACACCTGACATTATGCATTAGTCAAAGCATATAGAACCTCACAATTCAAAGACTGAACCCTAATTTAAACTATTATCATTAAATAGATAATGATGATGATGATAATGAGGTCGCTGGTACCTGCCTGCTCAACCAGGTTGACTGAGGCCTCGAGGACAGGTCCTCTAAGAAGCCTCAAGAGAGAGGTGCTAGGATTGACATGAGTCCTGCAGGCCATGTGTGTGCCAGGTGACCCCCTACCCACACCTCCATTTTGCTCTGCTCCCTGACTCCACCCCAGTCCTCCTCAGGACCCTGGCACACACCTGCCCCAGGCCCCTACCTGCTACCCAGCCAGAACGCTCAGCAGCAACCTTGAACAGCTGATGACACCAGGGCTTAGCACCAGCATCTGCTTTTGCAGCCCCCTCCCTCCTCCTGCACTTGGGGTAGCTCAAAATTCTGGCAGCGGCAGGGGACTGGGTGATTTCATTGGTGGCTCTTTCAGGCCTGTGGGCAGAGTGGGTGAAGGAGCTGACTTGCGTGGAAGAGTTTCCATCCTCCCTTTCCTTGAGGGCCTCTGGCTTGAGCCCTGTTGGGACCATGGGGGTGGGGGGTGGGAGGAGTTGGGAGGGGAGCTGAGCACCAGCCTGACAATATCAGTGGCCTTTGAGTCCATCCCAGTATGTCCAGACTGGGTGAGGTGGCAGGGTCTCTTCAGCCAGGGTGTGGCCACAGAGTGGGCCCCTTCTCTATCCCACGCTCCTCACTTCTTTCTCGGCCTTTGTGAATTCATTTTTTCAGGACTGCCATAACAAATGACCACGAATGGGTGCTTAAAACAATAGAAATCTATTCTGTTGAGTCCTTGGAGACAAGTCCATCAAGGTGTTACTCCTTCCAAAGGCTCTAGGGGAGGATCATAGCACAGCTCCAGACTCTGCCTCCACCTTCCCACAGCCTTTCTCTTTGTGTCTCATGTCCTTTCTCTTCCAAGGACACCAGTCATTGGATTTAGGGCCCACCCAAAAGCCAGCATGATGTCATCCTGAGATCTCTTTTTTTTTTTTTTTTAAGATTTATTTATTTATTTATTTATTTATACAAGCACTGGGTACAGTCAGAAGCGCTGGAGGGTGAGAGAATTCACCAGAGCCAGAGCGGGGAGCAGAACAAGCAGAAGGACTGAAGTACACTGCTGAGGGGAGCAGCCCCGGGACAGGAGAGGTCTGCGCGCCATGTGGGACCCTTGCCCAGTGGCCCAGGATCCAACCGGTGCTGCAGAGGCTGCGGGCAGCTTCGCAGCCCAGCGCTCAACTGCTGCGCCACCGGGGAGGCCCCTGAGATCTTAATTACATCTGCAAAATCCTATTTCCAAATAGGGGTGCTTTCACAGGTAGCAGGGATTAGGTCTTGGACATTGCTTTTTCTAGGCAGAAGGAATGGGGGCAGTTTGATGGACCTTTAGGAGGGCCCACCCCCAGCCCCCACATCTCTTACAGGATGTCTTCTACCAGGGTTCTAGGCCCTGCTTACCCCCTCCCTTGATGCCCATAGCCCCCATGTTCCTTTTGTTAAGTCTTGTGGCGAGAAGCCCATGAGCTGGCAGTCCCAGCTGTGCCTCACTGCCCTTACCATGTGGCCTCATTAGGGGTTGGTGAGGGTCTTTGTACTCTGTAGGACAGTTTCCTCCTGTGGTGGTCATGCCTGGACTACCACAGTGAAGATGCACCCACCTCCTTCCAGCCTGCCTGACCCTGCTGTCATTTTTTTCTTTTTTTTCTTTTTTTTTTAACTTCTCAGTAACATTTTTTTTTAATTTTTTAATTTATTTTTTATCATAAATTTTATTTTTATATTCCCCATACAATTGCGACTCCCTTATTTTGACCCCAATCCCTCCCTTCCCCGCCCCCCACCCCCCATAGAGTGTCTCTGGTTCATAGTTGTTTGTTGATTTTGATTTTCACTTTCTTATAGTTATTCATTTTCCTGATCCCTTATTTAAGTTTTCTAGATTCCTGCTATGAGTGAGACCATCCGGTTTTTTTCTTTTTCTTTCTGGCTTATTTCGCTGAGCATGATCCCTTCCAGCGCCATCCATGTTGCTGCAAATTGCATGTGTTTATCTTTTTTGAATGCTGAGTAATATTCCATGGTGTATATGTACCACATCTTGATCCAGTCATCTATTTTTGGGCATTTGGGTTGTTTCCAAAGCTTAGCTATTGTAAACAGTGCTGCTATAAACATAGGGGTGCAGGTGCTCTTTGGAATTGATGTTTCTGTGTCCTTTGGGTAAATACCTAGGAGTGGGATTGCTGGATCATATGGAAGCTCTATGTTTAGTAGGTCCAGAAATCTCCACACAGCTCTCCATAGTGGTTGGACCAGTTTGCACTCCCACCAACAGTGCAGAAGAGTTCCTTTTTCTCCACACCCTCGCCAACATTTGTTGTTGCTAGTTTTTTTAATATGTGCCATTCTCACTGGTGTAAGATGGTATCTCATGGTAGTTTTGATTTGCATTTCCCTGATTACAAGTGATGTTGAACATTTTTCATATGCCTGTTGGCCATTTGCATTTCCTCTTCAGAGAAGTTTCTTTTTAGCTCTTCTGCCCATTTTTTGACTGGATTATTTTCTTTGTTTTTGTTGAGTCTCATCAGCTCTTTGCAGATTTTTGTGATCAGTCCTTTATCATTAGTGTTGTGTGCAAAAATGTTCTCCCAGTCAGTGGGGTTTCTCTTTGTTTTTGTTACTGTGTCTTTTGCTGTGCAGAAGCTCTTTAATTTGATGTAGTCCCAGCTGTTTATCTTTGCCTTCACTATCACTGCTTTAGGTGATGTGTCTGTAAAGATGTCTTTGATGTGCATATCATGGAGTGTTTCGCCTATATTTCCTTCTATGTATTTTATGGTTTCAGGTCTTATGTCTAGTTCTTTAATCCATTTTGAGTTGGTTTTTGTGTATGGTGTGAGGTAGTAGTCAGACTTCAAACTATACTACAAAGCCATAATCATCAAAACTGCATGGTATTGGAATAAGAACAGACACACAGACCAATGGAATTGAATAGAAAATCCAGAAATAAACCCACAGATTTATGGTCAACTAATCTTTGACAAGGAGCAAAGAATATGCATTGGAGCAAAGAAAGTTTGTTCAATAAATGGTGCTGGGAAAACTGGGTTGCTACATGCAAGAGAATGAAGCTTGACTGCAGTCATTTTTTTCTAAGGACAGAAAAAGAGGAGCCTCTGTCATGCTTGGGTAAGGGGCATCAAGGGGGCTCCCTTTCAGGCATCTCAGGCCCTGCTGGAAGAAGGAAAGATTGCTGCCTGGTCCCCAGAAGTCACTCCCCACTCCATTCTCCTGGGAGGTGGCTGGGTGGGGTGACAACATTGTCTGATATCCATCCTAAAGGATTCCTCTCTTTCAGGCTGTAAAGTCCAGCCCCAGGGTGAAAGCGTTGTTGCCACCTGTGAATACCTCAGGGCTGAAGCTGGTGCGTCCCAAAGCCCTGCTGGACAACTGCTTCCGGGTCATGGACCTGCTCTACTGCTCGTGCTGTAAGGAGCCCTGGGGGCTGGGCCAGGGCAGGGACTTAGGCCACAGGGCAGAGTCACACCCTCCTGGGCTGGCATGTTCTCCAGGGCTCCCCAGAGTGTTGGGGATAAGAAAAAAGTGGCTTGCCTGGGATGAGGAGGGGGCTAACTGCTCCTGCAATTTTTTTCCTGCCCCCTGCAGGTAAACAAAGCTCCATCCTAAGTTGGCAGGACTGTGAGGTGCCAAGCCCTCAGCCCCACAGTCCAGACCCTTCCTTGCAGTGTGAAGCTGCCCGGCTATACCCTCTGCACCAGGAGCCCCCCACCTCCCTGCCCCACTCCCCGGAAGCCAAGGCTGGACCCCAGTGAGCATGTTGAGGGCCCAGGGCAACGCCTCCCATGCTGAGTGGGGCAACTCCTGCTGGAGTTCAAGGTGCCAGCACCTAGATGGAGGGGCGCCCCTCACTGGGAGAGGAACCCCGGGAAAAGGGTGCTTTTCCTTTGAGGGGGGTTTGTGCCCGAGATGGGCTGTCTCCAGCCTAGGGTACCTCACTTGGTCTCACCTGGAGTGGCAGGGGCAGGGCCTGAAAGTGGTTGGGGCAGAGCCTGAGGCCCCTTCTCCACCGCAATGGCTGCCTCCCCGGTGGAAGGCGGTGCTGAAGGTGTCCAGTGGCCTGAGGAGGGGAGCGCTGTCCCCGTGGGTAGATAGGCTTGTGGGGGAACTCCACTAGGGGAGGCTAGAGAGGGCTGAGACACATGCCACATCTTGCCAGTGGATGCTCTTCCAGTTCCCTTTTTTCTATTAAACATCTGCTTTGTTTTTGTTTTGTTTTGCATTTCATCTTCGAAACCACTGCCAAGTGCAGGAGCCAGGGGGTGGGAGGAGCGGGCAGCGGGTCCAGCCCTGGGGCGCGGCTCTGAGGATTGATTTGGAAGGTCCCTGAGCCTGGGTCCTGCAAAGATCGGTCTTTAAGGGATTGAGTTCCTTGCAGTCCCGCCCTAGAGTGTGGAGCCCGCAGCCAGCTCGCGGCAGAAGACAGGCCCCAGCAGGGACAGAGGCAGCAATCCAAGGTGAGGCCTGGGCCCAAGACCTGGCGCTCCTGCCCTGCAGTGCAGGGTTCAGGAGGGCTCGCTGCCGGGTCTGCAGAGGGTGAGGGCTGGGGGCTGCGGGGTGACGGGTTTGCAGCGTCGGAGGAAGCTAGTCAGAGGCAGGTGTTAATTACAGTACAACTTTATTAATACTGGAATCTTCACAGTGCATTTGTTACTTGTAGCAGTGACTAAATCCTGGGGAGGGGGAAGGGGCGGGAGAGAGGTACGTTTATCCAAAAAGGACAGAAAGAAAAGAAACAAGATGGTTCAGATGGGATAGGGTGTTGGGTGGGGGGCGAGGCTGGGTGTGTTTGGGTGGGTGGAGGAAGAAAGGGTGAGTAGGGACCAAGAGGGGAGTCCTGGGGTAGGGAAATAAATTAAAAAAAAAAAAAAAAAAAAGGAACAAGTTAACAACAGCACCAGAAAAGTTACTTCAGTCAAAAGACGCTTTTGAAAAGAATATTTCTCTGTACAAAATGAAAAATAAAACGAACGTAAATAAGTCCCCCAAACCAAAGTTTGTGACGCGGGATGGCTGGCTCGGATCCCGAGGGGCGGGCCTAGTAGCGGTGGGCACTAAGTGGAGACGGGCACGGGATGGAGGGTTATGTACAGCCCGGATGGGGTGGGCTTGGCAGGGCGAGGAGGGGGCGGAGGAGCATGGGGGGGGGGGCACATGCACCCTCTCCCTGTGCCTCCAGAGGCATGCTCTTCCTCACAGGGACCTGACCTACCCCACCCCAACACACACACCTCCCACAGCCCCTAAGCCGGCTCACATCACATATCCTGCCCCTCACACCATCAACCCGCCGTGGCTCAACCCCCACGCAGCCCTGGGGGCCGGGGTTGCACAGCCCACCCGAGTGCTTCCTAAACTGGCCACCTGCTCCCAGACTCCCATGGGCCCTCCTTTGTCACCAGGGGCCCTCCCCAGGTGGCTCAGCAAGGCCATCTCAGACCTAGCAACTTACAGGTTCATTCTCCATCCACCCTTATGGCTCCAGCCACTCAGGGGTACCCTTGATTCCCCAGAACCCCTTGCCTGGAACCCAGTTCCTGGCACAAGAAGGACCAGGAGCTCCAGCCTGGTGCTGGGGGCTCACACCCACCCCATCTAGTCCAGGAAAAGCCCGCTCTCCTGACGCTAGCAGGCCCTGCCCTATGGCCCTGACACCCTTAGAGAAGCCCTCTGGCCCTCTCCCTGGGTCCACGTGCTTTTACCTGCTTAGAGTTGGCTTGACCTAGTGTCCAGGGGAAGGGCCTCCCCACCCCACCCTGTCCCCTTAGGACCTGAACTTGGGGGGAGGGGATGTCCTGGGATGGCATCTCCTCTGGCTACAGAGAGTCAAAGCCAATCTCCCCTACTCCCCCCCATCCCCCTCTCCCTGTCACCCTCAGACCACAGATAGGCCAGGCCCTGCACCAGCCCTTTTCAACCTTATTTTGGCTACTATGCTCTGATCACTGGAGAGAAGAACCACTGCCCCTTGGCTTTCAGGGAGCCAATTCTTCCCTCCTCCTGCTGCCATGGGCCACTAGGCCCCTGTGGGGACCCCTGTCCCTCAGGCACTCTCAGACACACCCTGTACTGTCCACCCTGTCCCCACACGCAGTCCTTGTCCAGTCAGCTCCATTTTATTATTATGTCCATAAAAGACCCCACCCCCCCAACACCCTCTACAGCTTTAGCCCTCATCCCCGAAGGTGGCTGAAACCAGGACCAAAGTGCCACCAGAGTCAGAGTCCCAACATGCTCAGATGAGGATGGACATCTGAAAGCAGCTCCTGCCCTCCTGGCCAGATGACCCGGGGCCTCTGGACTCCTCTCCCTGCTGCCCACCCAGACCCCCAACCCCAGCCACACCCTCCGAGGGAGGAAAAGCTGCCTGGGGGGCCTCCTCTAAGCAGAGCCCCCGCACGTCTCCAACTCCACTCAGGTCCTTAGGCTTCCTTCCTCATAGGCAGGCAGCCTCAACTTCAACCTGATCCCCAACCAACCAGTCTTTGAAGTTTTTTGGCAGGTTGTCGACCTGTCCCCTCCACAGACACCCTGTCTCCAGGGTGGATGGAGGGAGCCTGGAGAGGCAGAGGGAAGGAAGAGTGAAGGAGAGAGATCAGTCAGGGGCTCAGCATTCAGCAAAAGCCTGAGGCCTTGCAGGCCCTGGGAGAAGCTGGGCCTGGAGCTGAGCAGTGGCCCTGCTGGTCCCAGCAGCAGGCAGCCTCTACCTTGGGTGGGGTATGCGGCCTGGGGCTCACTGAGATGTGGAAAAGGCCGGGCCTGTGAGGAGGAAGAGAACAGAGTGGGCAAGAGAAGTATAAAACAGACTCCAAATCCTGTTCTCTGCCCGCAGGCTTTATCCCAGCCTGGTGTTCAAGAAGCCACTTCCTGTTTCATCGCTGAAATCCAGGCTGGGCGTCTCTTCATAAAGTGGCTTTGCCTCAAGTGACTTTAAAAACAGGCACAGCCCTCTCCTGGCTGTGACTTTGCTCTGAGCTGCTTCCGGGCCAGGCCGCCTGGCGCACCCCAGGTCAGAGGGTGGGAGGGCGGCACCATCACAAGATGCGGGGCGCCGACCTGTCATTGGTGACGGTCCTGCGGAGCCGCACACCCCGCCGGATGGCCACCAGCATGTCTTCAGCTGGAGGGTCACTGGTGGCGGCTGGGGGTGGGGTGGGCGTCTCTTCTGCAGGAGTGGCCGACAGAGCAGTAGGGAAGGGAAACTGGCCCTCTCCCAGGGCATGGGCACCGGCCACCAGCTCTCCTAGCTTCTCCACCAGGCTGTGCCGATTGGCAGCCAACTGCTGCTGTTGCTCCTCCTCATCCTCGGCGCCCAGCCCAGCCCCTGGCCCCGGGTAGCTGGTGGCCTCCGGGGTCGGGCTGGCCCAGGCAGTGTTAGGCAGGCTCAGCCGCTTTGGGGAGGCCTTGGCCAGGTCCGGCGCAAGGGGTGAGGCGGCCTCATCAGTATAGAAGACACACTCCTCACTGCCTGCCCGTGTGGGCCCTGCGTAGCCGGGGGAGTCGGGCACGGTGGGTGTCTTCACAGGCACGATGGGCGGCCTAATAGGGATGGGGCCAGCGCTGGAGAGGGCACGGCGCACGGTGGGCTTGGTGGAGGGTGTGCGGCGAATGGTGGCCACACCAGGGGGTGCACCTGAGGGCAGGCCAGAGGTGGAGGGGAGCCCCGCAGTGGGCAGCCCCGCAGTGGAGGCCGGGCGCTTGGTCTGGATCAGACGGCGGTAATTCTGGGCAATGTTGCTGTTACGCGGGATGGTGGATGATTTGTCGAACTCAGGGGGCCCCTCGCCGTCTGCGTCCCCGTTCACCGAGTAGCAGTCGTAGTCAGAGCCTGGGGGTTTAGGAGGCAGTGGGTCTGGGCGCCGGGGCTGAGGAGGCCTGGTGACAGTCACCCAGCCCGGCACCGAGGGCCTACCTTGGGAGGGGATGGTGTCCTCCGAGCAGGAGGGTGTGGTGGTCTGCGTGCTGTAGCCGCTGGAGTACTGCAGGGAGTCTCGGCTGCTCTTCTGGTGCTCCAGGCTCAGGCCGCGGGTCAGCACCATGGCCAGGTCACTGGCTGCAGGGGACACCTCCTCACCATGCTGGGGATGGGGAGGGGATAATATTGCAGCCTGAGGCCTTTCCCCCCCTTTTCTCAACCCCAGCCTGGACTCCAGGCAGCACTCTCTAAGTGATCAGAACAGGTCCTGAGATCATGTGCCTGGCCTTCCAGGCACAGATCTGGCAGAGCAGGTGGTGTCCTGGCTGGGCTGCCAGGGAAATGCCGCCTACCTTGGCTGCGATGGTGGCCGGGGACATGCGGGGTCTTGGTGCCTCCTCCCCACTGGGGCCCACAGTGCTCCCACTGGCGGGGCCTGGCTCTGTGTCCCGGAGGAGCTCCACGCGATCCTTCCTCCGCTGCAGGGTGGTGCCTGAGGGCTGCTCATGGGGGCCGGCCTTGGACCAGTCCTGCAGGGCATGGTGGGAGGATCAGTGGGACCCTGACCCCGCTGCCGTGGCCAGGGGCCCTTCACTGTACTCAAGGTTCAGGGTTTCCAGGCCCAGGTGAGGTCCCAGACTCAATGACGGTGAGGGGAAGAGCATGGAGGGTGCTGTGCCCCTCAGACCTGCTGGGCCCAGATGCCAAGAGGGAAAGATATTGTCTGTGGGGAGCGGCTGCAGGGGTGCCCAGGCAGGGAGCACTAACCGAAGTGGGGGAGCTGCACTCGCTGACCGACTGGCAGGTCTCGGAGGCCTCAGAGGACGCGGAGCTGGAGGACTTCTGCCATGCGTAGGCGAGCAGGTGAGTGCGCAGCACAGGGCAGGGAGGCGGGAGGAAAGAATAGATCTAGTCACCGCACAGGCATGCACTCGGTGGCAGATTCAGCACCCTGCCCTGTGAGCCCCCAGGGCCAGCGCCTGGAGCGTCTGTGGTAAAACGCAGTACCCAGAGTGCAAACAGGTGCTACCCCACCCCACGGCCCAGCCCAAACACCACAGGCTGTGAAGCTGAAAGAAGGGCTCCCTGCTGGTGGCCTGGATGTGGTAGGCAAAGGAACCAACCATACAAAGGACAGCAGCTGGGTTCTTGGTGTCACTACGGGCCGTGGGGTCCACAGTTCCATCCTGTACATGTTAAGCCACGCAGATGCAAGGTTAGCTACGCTGTATTGTTATTTACAAGTCTTAGGGAGACATCAATGCTGGAGCCACATATCTGGCAGCTGTGGGACAGAACATGGTAACAAAGGTAGGGAGGGTGTTACAGAAAAGCCTCAAGGACTTTAGACATGCCAAGAGGGTCCATCAAAGGGGAATGACAGGGAGCTGCTGCTGCAGTAGGAGGAAAAGTCAGGGTGTTGGGGTGGGGGTAGGGGGAGGTGGAGGTGGGGTACATGCTGCTGTAGGGGGCCTGGCAGATGAGGGGTGGAGGCAGTGAGGGCTGTTTCATCATGTGGAGGCAGAGGGCTATTTAAGAGGGGACTGACATGTGCACAGGAGACTCCCATTCTGGGCATTGGGGGGCT